CCTAAATGCAAATGATAAATTTATATATTTGATGCGGCTAGACATGATGTGTTCCCACATTTTCCATTGTACAAAAAGCGAGAAGAAGTTGACTACTCTGTATTAGCTCAGTAACTAGAACAATTTGTATTAGCCTAGTATAGTATCCTTGTATGTTCCTTATGTATGTATGTCTAAGTCAAGCAGTGCATCTTTTGTCTACACTTTTCTACATACGTTTGTTATGTGTCTGATTAGTCTTGACCTGTACCTAGCCCGCGTCGTGGCATGAATGTACAATAAAGGTATTTCATTATTATTATTAATAATACAAACACGCGAATACTCGTGTGCACACGTACACATACACAAGACAGACACACACAAACAAACAAGCAGATACGCAATGAAAGACTATTGACTCAGTCAACATATTACCATATGATTCACATGTCAGTGCAGCATTACAACATAAATGCCGCAGGAGAAATGGAGTATTTAAAGAAGAAATTTTAAAAATTCGATTCTGGGACCTTTCCACCCAAAATCCTACTTGTAAGAGCTTATTCATTGGTTTCTAACAGTCCCAGAGCAAGCAAAGGCCAGTTCTAAACCGTAACGCTTTTGCCGCCAAACATCTGCTTGGGGAATATTCCCAGTCACCAGTTGATGCCTGATAAAAAGTTTTACCGAAAAAAGTTACAACAAAGTTCTAAATTTACATTCGTAACGTTGAAAGGCTCTAAATATCCACTAAAACATCAACATTTCTCAAATCATACGAACAATTATTAAATTTATTGTAATGTGTTGATTTTCTAAAAAAATCTAACGTCCCTGCGTTTTTGTAAATTTGATCAGGCACTACAATAATTCCACAGGACAGCCCCAATTTAAAGTTCCAGGCGCGAGTTCGAAATTTGCCCAGCCAAAATGGGCAGAAGAAGAAGAACTGTGGAGATATTTCAACCTTCACGTCGAACCAAACGTCTTATTTCGGATCAGATAGACGAGACAACTCCTTAAAGATGAAGATCCAGGTCTTGAGCCGAAATCCAGACGACTGCGCACGGGAAACCAAGCGGAGAATCCAGAGACGTGAGTAGAGCTTAAAGCGCTCCCCTCCCCCTCCTATAAATGCAATTTCACAGGGTCAAAACAAACGAAAAAGAAAGTGGTACAGCGAATATTCTTGAAGACTGGGTAGAAAGTCTGATAAGAGCGTCAGCCAGGCATATACAGTATATATATATATGTATACAAAAGTAACGCCCTCCCATGCCCGTAGCCAGGATTTTGAATGGGGGGGTTCTTCCCACTGCTTGAGGGGACATCGAGCGCCGTAGGCGCGAGGTTCCTAGGGGGGTCCGGGGGCATGCTCCCCCGGAAAATTTTGAAAAATGAACCTTCTAAAATGACATTTAGTGCATTTTTGAGAGGATTTCCAAGAAAAAATCTGACAAAGGGAGCAGTTTTTGTACGATTCCAGTCCATCTTTTCAAGAAAAATCTTGGACCTTTACATAAAATGTGGACCAAAAAGTGGACCTTTACATAAAATGTGGACCAAAAAGTGGACCTTCACATAAAAAGTGGACCAAAAAGTGGACCTTTGAGCCTTGTGGGGGGGTTCTTCTTCCATGGCTACGGGCATGCCTCCTTTCTCAGCACTCGAACACCAGAGCTGAAGTGGTACTCATTCCAGTGCTGAGGCGGCTTCAGATCTGGAAGAGCCGTTTAGCTCTGGAAACCGAGAGCTGAAAGGAGTTCAGCACTGGAAGTAGAATTACGAATATTCTGCACTTGATACAAGTGTAGCGTCAAGACCTACAAAATCTATCACAAAGGTGCTGTTTCAGTTTCTTGTAATACTAAGGACCATTTCCAAAACCATATCCAGTTGCGCGGGTAACTGTTTTTTGGCGTAAAGTTTAATAACATTTAGTTTAATTTTAGTTGCAGGAATACATCAAGTGATTCGGCACTGATTTCCTTCTAGTACCTCTCAGCACTGGGACATTCCATTTCCAGTGCTGGGGAAGACGTCAGCACTGGTTTGAAGAGCTGAAGATTTTTCAGCACAGGTTTTCCAGTGCTGAATTCTTCCCCAGCACTGGTAAATCCAGTGCGGAAGGCGTTACTTTTGTACACTCAGCACTCTGTTCCAGTGCTGACGGCGGTTTCACTCAGCACTGGGGACCCGGTGCTGAAAAGAGTTTAGCACTGGAAACCAAGAGCTGAAAGGAGTTCAGCACTGGAACTCCAGTGCTGAAAGGTCTCAGCACTGGAAGTGGAATCACGAATATTCCGCACTTGATCAAGAAAAGAGTTCAGCACTGGAAACCGAGAGCTGAGACAATGAGGAACAAGACTGGATTTCCAGAGCTGAGGGAGCTTCAGCTCTGGAAAAGAGAAATCCAGAGCAGAAATCCAGTACTGAACTTTTTTCAGCACTGGAATTCCAGTGCTGACGCAATCTCGACTGCTGATTCAGCACTGGAACACCAGAGCGGAGGGCTTTACTTTTGTATATTTGCATCAGCCAGATGTAAATTGTGCTGTGTGGTGTAGAAATGTATCGGGTTTGAGACTGTATGATTTGAATTGTGAAGGTTTTGCAGTCCGTGTATAAATGCGCCATATTAAGCAACTGGCTTTCCGGGTGAGTCGGCTGCAGTTCAGGTCACTTCCTAGTGCACCCTACTATAATTTTTACACCGTCAAAGTGAGTCATCTTGCCAATGGGATGCTTAACTATAGAAATCCCCATAGGGCGAAAACTGTGTTCTGCTACCTTGAGGATGATACATGATCATCAGTGGCTATAAAATCTTTTGACTATATCCACTCCTGGTGTGGATATAGAAATTTTTTTACCTGTATAATTTTTTTTTGGTCCTTAGATCCACTCCCAGTGTGTGTTTATTGATTTCTAGTATTCTACTGTGTCAGACTGATTTGTGTGCCTCTGAGCGCACCTTCCCGTAATGTATGCAGACTTTGCCACTCTGTAGACATGGGAACTTGGAAACTTTTCCGGCAAGTTACGGTTTTCAGTTTTAACCGTTTTGCTTGTCAGTCCTTACTGAGCTCGGTGTGGGTGTTTTCTGTCACACCTCCAGCGCTGCCCTGAATTCTGTCCATATCAAAATTTCACCCCCAAACTTCAGGCACGATGACTGACATTCTGGTCGACGTCATGAGGCCTTTTTAAAATGGTGGATCGACCACGAAAGACGACCACGTCGCAATTGGTCAGTTTCCTTACAAGCTACAATACTGCCACGCTGCTATTGGTCGGGGTACCAGCTGCTGCAGTGAGGGAACTGGCCATGGCTAGCAGTGGGGAGGGCGGCCGGCATCTATCCACAGCTTTTAGGCAAAAAAAATGCCAACCTTTAGGACTATAATCATTCCACTTGTGTGCACGTGGCTTCCGTGTTGTTTTGTGATTATCAGCCTTTTCGACGTCCACTACAAGGTTAAACTTGAAGCCCGAGGTTTAATCTTAAGCCCCCAAAGCCCCAAACACACACCAAAACCCAAGTTTTGGGCCTGCCACAGAGGCTAGTATTTCTGGGAGTGGATTAAAAGACTTTTTTTATATCCACTCCGAGAGTGTCAATAGCCATGTGGGGAACAAAAAATATTCTGGATTAGGAAATCTGTCTGAAATTTACCTTAAAAGTTTACTGCCATTTCTTAGCACATTTTTGCCATCATTTTAAACTCGAAGCATTTGGAATAGCCTCAACAAGCTGCGTGAGGCGTCTCATTATCTCTTGGCACTGCCCAGAAATTATGACAAGCAACCTTTTTTTTGTCGGGCATCACATTTTTTGTCATTTTCGCCATAGCCTACTTGGAATGCCCCCCAGCATGTCAGAGGTGTAACCCCAGAGTTGTATCCAGAACCGGCTCAGACATGATCCAGACAAAAATATTGACCAGATTTTTTAATGCCCACATCATGTCCTGCATCCATGCATATCACCATTAGTAATTCTCTAAAATTTAAAAAACATAACAGACTTAAAAGCTGACTTACAATAGTAATTGATCCAAACCGTCACCTTACCTCTCGGTATCTCAGTTTACCTATCCAGTACTGCTCCATCCATGTACCCTAAAAAGTTCATTTAAGCCAAAACAATCTACAAAATGACACATTTCATAACACACGGCAAAACAAATTACTGTTAGGCCACTCAGATTTTATTTGTTGCTTCTCGGATCTCCCTGTCCATTTTTTTCCTGATTTGCACACACAAAAAAAATTGTCGGTTCTAAATGAACTGCAAAATGGTAAATGAAAGACAAATTTTGGCCCCAATGGTTGAAAAAAGTCCTTTTCTCCCTTGGGCTAGTTCTTAAGTTTTTCAATATAACAATGCAATTTTGTTTCATTAAAAGTTCAAAATCTATTGTCTTAATTATAAACCAGCCTGGTATGTTCACTTCATGGCTCATGTTGTAACATGTCCGGCTATCATGGTCTTTTTTTTTTTCGCCCTGTCGCTCCTAATTTTTTCTGAAAAAATCTGAGAAACAACAAATTAAATTGGTGTGGCCTTACTATAAAACACAACAACAAAAAAACACATTGTCAAGTAACAATCGAGAAATGTATGAAATCCTTGACCTCCAGTTGAACACTACCTTCAGTTGGTACAATGTCCCTTAGGCTATCAATTTCTGTATACAAATAACTGTATAATACGTAATAATATGTCCCAACTATGAAAGCCCTAATCCTTGCACAAAAGGCTTAACCAGCATTTTCTTATCATTTCTAAGTTACTTTGCACAATCTTTGTCTATCAATATAATCATTTCACCTTCATTCCACTCCCTAAGTATGGAATTTCCATCATTTACATGTATGTACATTCAAATAAATCCTCAGCTGATAATAATGAATTTCCTAATCAATTATGAAAATCAGGTTGTGATTTACATAGTTATCAGCTCTGTCCATCTTCTTTAGTACCTTAACACCAAAAATTATAAAATTCTGTCTCATTCACTTATGAAATTTACATACTAGTTCCTGTTAGACTCACCTTAAAATCTGAATACACAGCTGCTCATAAGTGTCATAGGACTAAGGCCATAGCATAATGCTTTTACTTAGTACATCCTCTAGTGTGTATATTATTGCAATACCTAGAATTACTTCATCTACATAGCTAAGCTTTGTTGATCCAAGTCTTTGCTTCTAACAACAGCTGGGCAGCCTTTGGACAGTTGTGTTGGGTGTTGTCAGATCCAGTAGATCCAGTGTGGCTGTGGATTTCCTTCTTCCAGCATCAGCAGTTTCTGTTGTGGGGGGGGGGGGACAGGTTTGTTCAGTTAAAACTTTTGATCCAACACAAAGAAATTTTCCCACCTAGAATTTGACCAGTCACTCTGGTTTTCCTCAGTAGACTGACCCCAGTGAGGCTTGTCATGTGGCTACTCTGAAGTGTTATAATTTTTTTTTATTATTATTATTATATATAGGGGCAGCAATCTTTAATTATAGAATCTTCTAACTTACGAGAAGCAGGTTAGGGCAAATCATTATTAAACAGCCTTTCCTGAACACAGCTTACAGTTAAAGCACATACCTCACATTGGGACTGACTCAAAAGAAAATTTAAAGTAGAAAGCGTCCTTTTTCTATAAAATTTTAATTTTTCGGAAAGAACATACCAAGAAATGGATTTTTGACTGCCCTTTCTGGCTGAAGTTCACTCGCTGCTCTGTTGTTGTGCAGCACAGTCTGTATAACAAGGACAAAGAAAGGGGTTAATGTTTACAGTACTTATCAGAGTGTGTCTTATTATCTACTCCAGACAATCATATTTAGTTCACCTGGAGCATTTTTTTTTCAATAATAGTTTATTGGCAACACTTCTTGTACATGGCAGCGTACAAAACCGCTGAATTTCGTACACAGGTTTAAAAACAATTAAACAATAAGGTGAGCTAAACAAACAAAAGACATTGACAAACTAGGTACATGCAGCTCCAGCACATTTAGGGCCAGTTTCACACATCATCAGATCTAAGATGTCCTGACTCTCTCACACTCGGTATTTATTTATTTTTACACTCACTGTTGGGCTTTATTGATATTCTTGGTGAGCAGTTATATTTCAGTCAGTACAATTATTACAGTATTAGTCAATTATATTTCAGTCAGTACAATTATTACAGTAAAGTCAATTATATTTCAGTCTAAACAAACCATCCCTTCCCACACATGCAGTGAAACCAATCACTGTGTATTTATATATATTAGGTGTTATAGGTAGTGTCACATTATAGCTTTCCAAGCCTAATTGTAATTAGAACATTAATGTCCAAAGGTTTTTTCGGTGAAGTGAATAGCTTAAGGCTGGATCCAATAGGGCCAGTGCCACCTGCTGGAGAGTCAATGTTTTTTTTCTCTTTTGGGCATACAGAAAGTCATGATGATGATGACAGAAAGTATGGCAGAAAGTGCCACAGCATTCTTCTGAACATAACAACACATTTTGTTCTTAACTTTTATTGGCACACTGTAGCTGTTTTGCCACCAATATGCAGCAGGGACGAGGCTAAAAAACAAGTGGTACAACCATTCTTGAAATAAGGCTGGACAGTGGGAAAATGCTGTTACAGTAACAGTTCTATCTTTGGGTTCTGGCTTGTGATTTGTTTTACACCAAGATGTGACTGTGCATTTCTGTGCTATTTATATAATATACTATATTAGGCTGATACACATATTTGCTACATCTTGAGTAGTCGGCTTTGCCAAAAACAAAACCAACTAACCTGCCGACGCCCCAGCAACTTCTCCACTTTCCAACTTCTCTGGAGGGTTTTCAGACACGTTGTGGTCCTGGTGTTGATCGGAACTTTCTGTAGAAATGAAACAAGATAACAGAATTTACTCATGCCCTTCTAAGTCCAAATAGTAAATATTGCCAAAATGTGCCAGACTCCATCCATTGAGGGGTTTATGCAAATTGCTGGTCTAACAATGAATCTGTCAACATTGGGTCCATCCACAACAGCTGTCACATTTTCCTTGATGTGACGGAGGAACATGCTGACATCTGAAATTATGAGGAATATAATAAACATAGCTTATTTTTTTCTTTAGATGCACGTATTCCAATACAAAACATGCACAGTTGATATGATATACTGCTGCACAATTACGTCGATGAAGGTTAGACATCCAGGTAATACGATACGTCAAAAAGCAGTTACTCAAGCAACTGGATATGATTTTGAAAACGTCAGACGTTTCAGCTAGTATCCACTAGCTTTCGTCAGTGACTGAGAGACGAGAGACGAAAGCTAGTGGATACTAGCTGAAACGTCTGACGTTTTCAAAATTATATCCAGTTGCTTGAGTAACTGTTTTTTTGCTGCACAATTAGTTTGCTACATTTTGAGTCACACAGAGACTTAGTCCATCCATAAACTTCCCAGAAACTTCATCTTTTCCACCTCCCAACTTTTTTTGGAGGGTTTTCAGCTTCTTATAGATACAATATTCCAAAATTTCCTCACTTCGCTCAGGTGTAAATGAGTATTGTACTGTCCCTGTGTTGGTGGCGGCATTAATATAAGTTGAAAAAACTGATGTGATTAATACATGTTTCTGAATAAAAAAAAAATATTCCAAAAATACATCAAGGTAAACATGCACAGTTTATAGCATTAGGCTGATACACATGTTTGCTACATTTTAGCACACGGCTTAGTCCAAAACAAATTTCCCTCTGACTAACCTCGGGACGTCACAGCAGATTCATCTTTTCTACCAATGTTACATGTTTGATTCTTCTTAACTCATAATAGAGCTAAGATTCATACTAATTTGGAGATTGTTACATAAATTTCATCAACCATGTACTACTAGGTGACAAAGACATTGGTACCAACCAGGGAAACTACTTGGGAAGAAGTAGAGCCTCTTGCGTAGGGTGTGCGTCACTTCCGGTTGCTGCTTGTACTCTTGCTCTTGGGTCTGAGTTTTGAAGTCTGACACTTTGGCGTTTACCTGGTTGATGAAACAAAAGCGTCACTATCAGACTGATTCACAAATCAGTCAGTTAACAGTAGTCTCTACCAGACTAACTACACTGGCTATATACAGGAGAATATTTGCCAGAGTTTGGCCGCCTTGTAGGTTTGACGGGCCCACGAAGGGAAAGAAGCCACACGAGAACACAGGGTTAGCTCACACAGATAGCCAGAGAACACAGGGTTAGCTCACACAGATAGCCAGAGAACACGAGTTAAGCTCACACAGATAGCCAGAGAACACGGGGTTAGCTCACACAGATAGCCAGAGAACACGGGGTCAGCTCACACAGATAGCCAGAGAACACGGGGTTAGCTCACACAGATAGCCAGAGAACACGGGGTTAGCTCACACAGATAGCCAGAGAACATGGGGTTAGCTCACACAGATAGCCAGAGAACACAGGGTTAGCTCACACAGATAGCCAGAGAACACGGGGTTAGCTCACACAGATAGCCAGAGAACACGGGGTTAGCTCACACAGATAGCCAGAGAACACGGAGTTAGCTCACACAGATAGCCAGAGAACACAGGGTTGGCTCACACAGATAGCCCGAGAACACGGGGTTAGCTCACACAGATAGCCAGAGAACACGAGGTTAGCTCACACAGATAGCCAGGGAACACTGGGTTAGCTCACACAGATAGCCAGAGAAAACGGGGTTAGCTCACACAGATAGCCAGAGAACACGGGGTTAGCTCACACAGATAGCCAGAGAACACGGTGTTAGCTCACACAGATAGCCAGGGATCACAATGTTAGCTCACACAGATAGCCAGAGAACACGAGGTTAGCTCACACAGATAGCCAGAGAACACGGGGTCAGCTCACACAGATAGCCAGAGAACACAGGGTTTAGCTCACACAGATTAGCGAGAGAACACGGAGCTCACACAGATAGAGTCCAACCATTGTGCTATATACTAGAAGTATATGATAGCCATGCAGAGAACACGGGGTCGGCTCACCATCATGAGCATGTCATGTAGCTCCTTCATGTCGGCGTGTTCAGTGATGACATCAGCGAGGGCCTCGACCAACCACGTTCCTGTATTGGAGTTCCTCCAGGACACGTGACCTGTCAGAACACGTGAAACATCATCAGGAAATAATTGTGACTTTGTTACTGATATCGTTTTTTCTGATGCGAACCTCCCATCTTATACACTTTATGCGCATGCTATTGGTCACTTTACAGTTCAACTGTGGCAACACGTCATGACGTCAGTAGTAATAACAGTTATGTCAGCTGTACAGAGCTGAAGATTCTTCAGCTTAGAGATGAAATAATAGCTTTGGACTTTAGTAGCATTTCCGTGGATCATGAGCATTATCCGTGTCCCGGGTTTGGTACTTACCATGCACTGTAGCGTACATGACCAGCCAGTCGCTCGCTGTAGGTAAGGTTTCTCCGGCATCAGGACTCTCCACAGGTGTGGCCCATGTGATTGTTGGAGGGGGCGGTGACACAGTGGCCTCAGTACTTCCATCGGATGCTTCTGTCTCGGTTTGGGAGGTGCTGCTTGCTTCATCTGTGGCCGTGTCTGCAAGTCCCGTGTCCCTGTCACCTGGGAATAAATAGGATAAAAAGGTTAACATGAAATTCCAAAGCTTACTTTTTGTCCAATGGTAAAACTTAACCTTTCCCCCCAAGAATCAAAATTATAACGTTTTTAATGTATCATTTAATGAAAACTGTTACATTTTACACGTGATTAAGCAATCTCAGTGGTTTGGGATGTTTGTGTTAAAGTAGCTGTACATGTAAGGGACAGTGCAATTTAGTTCCCATCGTAAAAGGTTCTGCAATACTGTAACTTTCAGAAGTTCAATAAAAACTAGGATGATATGAATGAGGATAATGAATAAAGTTGATATAGAAAGGCTTAGTGACATTATTTGCTTTCCTACAGACAAGTATTACATTTGCCTAATTTTGTAAATGTGAAAAACAAGTTCAAAGATGTTTCTGTCTTAATTGGATGGTTTTAATTCGGGTCTTTTAGCCACGATTTTCCGTAAATGATTCTCACCTCCTCTGCAGGCCTGGATGAAGAAAAGTTTCGGCTTCCCCACGAGACTCTTGCAGGCCTGGAAACTAGAAATGATGCTGTCCACAGACACATGCTGTCCGTCTGTGCCCAACACGCCTGTCTCTGTGCCATGGGACAGCAGGAACAGCACGAAGCAGTCGTAGCTGCTGTGATCTCTCTTGGAGACGTCCTTTGTTACAGCTGCAATTTGCTGTGGGTTCAACACAAGATGATTGTCAACTGAAGCAATGGGAAACTGTAATCATTGTTTGTGCTTGGAATGTTATACAATCATGTATACTATAAATACATTGTACATAATAACTCTACTGACTTAGTGACAGGTGAGGTACAGTGGCAGATAAAAATGTGTAATGTCCACTTTGGATTACTGATAGAGCAACATACCTAGAATGTCTTTAGCAAAAATAGCGCCTATGGTATTTGAACAGCTCTGATTTCAATTACTTGTATCAGGTTACTTTCCAAGCAGAGTTTTGGGTTTTGGGCTATTTTTCTATATATAGTAAGTGCATAAAAGAAACCCGATAAAAAAGCCTAAAAACACGTTAAAAATAGCCCAAAACCCAAACCTCTGCTTGGAGAGTATATCAGGTACCATAAGAAATCGTAATTTAAAATAGAGACGGTTGGGCAGCGAAATCATCCCTCCGCGGCATAACTCGCGTCGCTAACTGAAAAAAATAACACTGCACCCTACAAGTCTGCAAAGGAGGCTAATACAATATATAAGAAATTCTAATTTCTTATATGTTAAGACAACAGATAGCTAGGACAATTACTTTCCAACACATAGAAACCAACAGCTTCTGATACCGATGGGCCCCACCTGTGCTGTAAGGTTCTGTTTGATCTCCTGTTGCAGCTTGAGTTTCCCACAAATCTCCCCGAGTCTGTCCAGGTCCTTCGCTCCTCCCGGCCTGTTTCTTGTCGGGTCCGTAAAGTTGGTGTTGCTGATGATCAGCGCGACGCCGCGCGGGTCGGAGGTCATCTTGTAGCAGTCCTTTTCAAACAAATATAGCATAAATTAAAGTTCCACGACCCCATACCATTATAGCATAAACTAGAGTTCCCCGATCTCATACCTTCGCCAAATGATGTTAATCTTTATGACTGACAAAGTTTAGATTAGATTATTCCCCCCTGATTTAAGAAATAGGAACCTAATTTTCATGAATTATATTGTTTTATCATAATCTCAACCAAAAGACAAAAAGTCTTATATTAACAAAGAATGCATTCTAGCATTTCCTAATAAATTATGCAAATGAGGTCCTGATTTCAATAAATTATGTTTAATGATGTTCACCTCAATTTAACTTTCAAATACGAAATGTATGAAATTCCAGGCAGTTATCATTACATAATTATAAAATTTTCTCATTAATTATGCAAATTAAGTTCTTTTTAACATAATCAATATCTTCCTGTGTTTCTCTCGTTGTCAATTACCAATGTCACAAGCTTCAATTGTCCTATCATGGAATGCAGCTGATTTATAGAATTTCCCCATAAATTATGCAAATTACATCCATATTTGCATAATTGTCACATAATTATATTAAGCATCACGTAAGCTACCTACATACCAAAAATCACGACGATCCGTCAACCGGTTCTTGAGTTATCCCCTTTTGAATATTTTCAAGAATTTATCCCTGCAGTTCCAGAGCAAGCCGCTAGGGGGCCTAAACTCACGTCACTTCTTTCCCAGCACAAGAGCTACCTACCATCTAAATTTCAATACCATAGCATGTCTAGATCATGAGATATCAAAACCGGAAGTTCAGCTGCAGTACCATAATAAGCCGCTAGGGGGTCGAAAAATCTAATCATTTTGAGGTCTCATCAAGACCTACCCACCTACCAAGTATCAAGACAATCCATCAAGGCCTTCTCAAGTTATCGTGTTTACAGACAGACACACACACACACAAACACACACATACACGAACGCCCCTGAAAACATAACCTTCTTGGCGAAGGTAATAAGCAAGTGGGGTTGTGTGGCGTAACGGCAGAGTGTTCAACTCAGATACAAGAGATCCCGGGTTTGAATCTTGGGAAAGTCACTTCACGCGACTTTCCTCACTTCACTCAGGTGTAAATGACTACCTAAGCTTCAGTTAGGGACGTCCCTCGGATAGGACGTTAAATGGAGGTCCCGTGTTTGGGAGAGCCACACCCCACGCACTTACTGTACAAAACTGGAACTGGTGTGTTACGCCTAAAAGGCGGTTTACCGGTTATGCGAAACAAACAAACATTTGTCATAGCGCAGGACCTGGTATACATAGTGCCATCACCACTAGACCTGAGCATACACTTAAAGGGACTCAACAAATGGAAATACTCCTACAAACTTAACTAAAATTGAACCAGAAACACATTTTAAGAATCTATATTATTATTAAATAAATATATTAAAAAAATGAACTACAAAACATATTTTAACTGTTGGCTGATGTTATGTTGATTTGCTGTTGCTACTTACATTTTCTTGTTGAGACAGTTTCACTCGAGTCGGGGCTGATCCACGTCCGACAGCTGCAAATATGGAAAAACAGAAAATGTCAGTCATTGGGGTAAAGTCTTTGTAGTATTTGATGTAATTTCTAAAGTATCTACAAGGTATAAAGCTTAAATATCATATGATTACTTATTAGGGAGGAACAAGATCCATATGAAAGATTATCTACTGCTAATGATATAAAGTTAACTTACCGGATAATCTGGCCGGTCTGTACACAAAGTCTGCTGACGTTAAAGTCCTCTTCCTGACCCTGCGACACCTGACGTCACGGCCGTCCTCTGCAGTCCGGTCCCTCAGTTCGAACTGCCACGGGTTGTCCAGTCCTGCCTTGATGCAGTGCGCACAGGTGACGTGGAGGGCGTACAGCACACCTGGCCACTCCTGCAGCAGCTGGACCAGCACCTCCAGCAGTGGGTGGACCACGCCCCACATCTCATCTGCCTGGGCAAGCCTGCCTCTGGTTGCCATGGTGATGTATGTGTCGTCTGCTACAGGTTTGGAACACAAGAGTACGGGGTAGTCCTGCCTGTAGGCCATGACTCCATCTTTCCAGTCTACCCTGTCCTTGACAAGTGGATGGATCCCAACGCTGAACCTCTGAAACAGTCCTCGAGGACAGAATCCTGTGATGTTGCACACCAGCTGCAGCTGTTCCTGATCTTCTGGTACGTCATCTGGCCAGTCATCTTTTAAATCCTCTGGCATTTGTTTCTCCAGGTACCAAGGTATTCGGTACTGACAAATATGTTTGGAAGGATCAGTTTTGTCTTTGACTTGCAACTCAAAGCAAAGACCAAAATGCTGCATCAGAGCTGTAACAACGTCAGGATCGATGTTTGGTGGTAGCATATATGTCATCACCTTCTTCTGGATCAGTCCACGGTCACGTAGATCCTGTTCAAAAACCTTGAGCTGTCCGCGAGTATAATCAGCATTCTTCAGTCCAGGTGTTTTGAAAAGTTCCTCGATATTGTGATGGAACAGATCTTTGAAGATTTCAATCAAGGCAGCAGGATCATGGAAGACGTAGTCCTTGAGATCCGGTATGTCCGTGTACCTGAGGATGGTTCCCACCTGCTGCAGGTGAAAAAGGACTGGCTCCAGGCTGTCCGCCGTGAGACCTGCAAACTTCCCTAGCTGCAAACAGTCGTTTCGCGTCATCCACTTTGGTCTCTTGTCACTTTGAGGATTCAGAGTTGACAAGTCTTTATTGTCAGACGAAGAGTCATCATCGTCTGTTGGCGAGTCATCACCGTCACCTGTAGTGATTTCCAGTTCTTCTGTTCCCTTGTCACGTAGCTCGAGCATCTGCTGTTCAAACTCCACCCATGTCCGCGGGAGGATCTTTCTAAGCCTAGGAAACAGTGACGTATCATTGACCGATTCCAGTAAGTGATTCCTTAGTGAGTCCAACCCAGATGTTGGTTCTGCTGAACTGATGCAGTGCACATGTTTATCTGTAAGCCACATAGGTTTATCCAGGAGATTTTGTGCATGTTCTATCTGCTGTTTTATTTCCCTTTGTTCCTCAATGCTTTTGGCCTCTTTATATCTTTTGTTGAGTGTCGTGATTTGGCGCTCTGTATTACTTTTCCATGTGTCCATCTGCTTTTGGAACTTTTTTTCGATGTCCTTCACTTTACCATTTATTTCAGCCTCACTGCACTTGTCCTTCTTGGTGCCCACTATTGTAACCACCGCCCCCGGCACGCGGGCATTCAGTGTGTCCAACCAATACCCCACGGCTTCTGTGTATCTCTCTTCACTGCAGCTGTATGTCTGCAGGTTCACTAATAACAGGTGAAAGGCATCTGGAGTCAGAAGGAACTGATGAGTGAGATGGTACACGTCATGGCCGCTAAAGTCGTACACTTCAAACTTGATGTTGTCATCAGGTGCCCACTGAGTTATCTCTACATAGTGTGTGCGGTCCTCTTCTTCTGTCAGGGTGGACTTGCCCCTGTCTAGCGTTTGTATCAGGCTTGTTTTTCCCGCCATTTTCTCTCCCAAGACGACAACTTTCAAATGAGGGCTTTCCTTTTCTTCCGAGCGTCCAAGTTCCTCAAAGTACTGTCTGATAGCAGCGATCCCCTGACGGCAAACCTCAACTGGTGGTTTTATTAGTGGATTTCCACCAACGTCAAGGTCACGTAAGCTACTGAGCTGCCCAACCTCCGCGGGTAACGTCTGCAGTTGGTTACGGCTCAGGTTCAGCCGTTTTAACTGTGACAGTCTCCCCACTTCAGGTGGGAGTGTGTGCAGACCACACCCGGACAGACCCAAGTGTTTGACGTTAGCGAGCTGCCCGATTTCTGCGGGTAATGTCTGTAGTTGGTTACGGCTCAGGTCCAGCCATTCTAACTGTGTCAGTCTCCACACTTCAGGTGGGAGTGTGCGCAGACCGCAACCGGACAGACCCAAGTGTTTGACGTTAGTGAGTTGTCCGATTTCCGCGGGTAACGTCTGTAGTTGGTTACCGCTCAGGTCCAGCCATTCTAACTGTGTCAGTCCCCCCACTTCAGGTGGGAGTGTGCGCAGCTCGCACCCGGACAGATCCAAGCGTTTGACGTTGGTGAGTTGTCCGATTTCCGCGGGTAACGTCTGTAGTTGGTTATTGCTCAGGTTCAGCCATTCTAACTGTGACAGTCCCCCCACTTCAGGTGGGAGTGTGCGCAGCTCGCAGTCGGACAGACCCAAGTGTTTGACATTAGTGAGCTGGCCGATTTCTGCGGGTAACGTCTGTAGTTGGTTCTCGCTCAGGTCCAGCCGTTCTAACTGTGCCAGTCTCCCCACTTCAGGTGGAAGTGTGCGCAGCTTGCAGTAGGACAGATCCAAGTGTTTGACATTAGTGAGCTGTCCGATTTCCGCGGGTAACGTCTGTAGTTGGTTACCGCTCAGGGACAGCCATTCTAACTGTGTCAGTCTCCCCACTACCAGAGGAACTGTCTCCATGCCTGTTCCCGCTAGTTTCAGTACCCGGAGGTTGGTGAGCCCGGCCAGCCCATCCGGCAGGTGGATCCCGCTGTTCCCGCTGAGGTCCAGTTCCTCCAGCTGGGGGAGTTTCAGTATTACCAGGGGAACTGTGTCCAGGTTACGGTAACGTAGTCTCAACACTTTCAACTTGTTCAGTTTAGACAACTCATCTGGTAGGGAGATTTTCAACATTGACTTCCAGTCCGCACTTAGATCCAGCCATTGTAGGTTTGACAGTTTCAGCACTACAGGCAGTATTGTGTCCAGGTTACAGCGTTTTAAGTCCAGGGCAGTGAGGTTGCTGAGACCCGACATCTCATCCGGCAGGGTGATGTTCTCGTTGTTACTCAGGACCAGCATTTCTAACTGCGGAAGTTTCATCACGGCAGCGGGGACTGTGGCAAGGTTACAGTTATCTAAACACAACAGTTTTAGATTGGTCAGTTTGGTCAGCTGATCGGAGATATCAATGTTCGTGTTGCCTGTCAAATCCAAAGCCTCCAATTCCTTTAGTTCAAAAACTTCCTCGGGTAGTTGACTGGCCGGAGTGTCGATAGATCTACCATATTCATGAGACAAGTCCAGTGTCAAGAGAGTTCTTTTCCCCATCCTAATGTGAGTCATGTCCCATTCTTTTGGCTTCATCTCGTTTTTAATGCTTGACAGTTTAGCCATGTCGATATTTCTAGAATTGAATAATAGTGAGAAAATAAAAATGATACATGTAAAAGTAATTTATCATTATGGTGTTTTCATGATTAGCTTTGTAACCCTTTTAAAGTTCCATTTCTAATACATTGTAACTAATAAGATCATTGTATGTACACAAGTATTATCTCCTGCACAGTCCATTAAGCCCACCATAGACTGGTTACCAGCTAGGCTAAGTGAAACTTCGCTCATGTACTAACAGTAGTAACTGTTACTGTTAATCTCTATATAAGCAGCTCCTACGGTGTAAGATAGCATCCATTGGTCAGGAGTGATCATTTGCCCTTGGAGCTGGATACAGTTTTTACAGTCTGTAAGAATCTGCTTGGAGATTAACTGTACTACATGTACCTAAATTATGATGTCATGATTGTGCAATGGAGCCGTCAACACGAAAACTGCAAAAATAAAATCACAGAGAACACTTAAAGATTTACAATGACATATACACAAACATGTTGCAAAGAAGTCTAATATGATAATGTATGCTCACTGTTGCCTGGGCCCAGGATTCTCCTCCACATCCCCTGCAAGCTTCAGCATGAGTTGTGAGATGGCCATCCACACCAGCAAACATGACTGCCAGCAGCACAGGGGGTGAAACGCCGGGTTCCTGAAGCAGCCTATCCGGGCCCTGTAGGTGCACAGGTCAACCTCCATCCTGACGGCCGCAGCTGAGCTGTGGAGTGGAGGGGGAAATATTATATAATTATAGCATTCTCCATCTTGAAATGAAATTGTGTTTGACAGTCAAACTTGCCCAAGCGACCACTTCTACAAACCAACATCTGGCCATGACGACTGCTTTTTTCTCGGTCCCCATATTTTTCCCATAAACCTTGAAATCTGTGTGTTGGTGCCATGCTTTTTGTAAAAAGACCACTTCAGAATCTCTAAGAAGGCCACATTTCCTTGGGCCCTGGGTAGGCGTCTTAAACATGTTTGACTTAATTATATGATTTGCACTTATGATAATCATTATAATGCCGAATATAAAATTAATACTTATTGATACAAAAAGTGGAAAAACAACAGCCTAGTGTTGGAGAGGTAAAGTCCCTCTCCCAGATCAAGACCAAGCTAATAGCCTTCGCATAGGCAAGAGCATGTAATTTGATGGGTAACATCCTAAAGAGCCTTGTATAGGCTACTGTATGGTGGGTTACTTCTGCACACAGGTAGCCTTAGCATCCTGAGGGGCCTGGTAGAGGCTACTGTATGTTGGGTTACTTCTGCACACATGTAACCTAGCATCCTGAGGGGCCTGGTAGAGGCTACTGTATGGTGGGTGACTTCTACACACCAGTTTAGCATCCTGAGGGGCCTGGTAGAGGCTACTGTATGGTGGGTTACTTCTACACACCAGTAACCTTAGCATCCTGAGGGGCCTGGTAGAGGCTACGGTATGGTGGTTACTTCTACACACATGTAACCTTAGCATCCTGAGGGGCCTGGTAGAGGCTACTGTATGGTGGGTTACTTCTACACACATGTAACCTCAGCATCCTGAGGGGCCTGGTAGAGGCTACTGTATGGTGGGTTACTTCTACACACATGTAACCTTAGCATCCTGAGGGGCCTGATAGAGTCTACTGTATGGTGGGTTACTTCTACACACATGTAACCTTAGCATCCTGAGGGGCCTGGTAGAGGCTACTGTATGGTGGGTTACTTCTACACACATGTAACCTTAGCATCCTGAGGGGCTTGGTAGAGGCTACTGTATGGTGGGTTACTTCTACACACATGTAACCTTAGCATCCTGAGGGGCCTGGTAGAGGCTACTGTATGGTGGGTTGCTTCTACAATTTGTCTTAAAGTTCCTAGAACAAATCGAACGTTATATATATCAAGATCATAAACAGAGTGCAAACATACTAGTACTACTCAGACAGACGATTAAATGCATTCCCTAGTGAATTGAATTTTGTCAACAAGATAACTCAAGAATGGCAGGATGGATTGGTTTTACACTTAGTGGGTCCGTAGGGTGTGACTAAATCTAGAAATGATAAGATTTTGGGCCCCCTAGTGGCTTCCGTTGGTACTGCAGAGGAACTTCTGGTCTCCATAACTCACGATCTGGACATGCTTCGGTCATGAACGTTGGATGGAGGTAGCTATATTTATCTATAGATCATGGGGTGTGATACACAGAGCCGCCCAAAAGAACCGGTTTTTCTGCAACCTTCAGGCCGCAGAACGCAGTATTCTTTGGCTCCAGTGTGAAAAATTAGTCCCAAAAATATTCAAACTTTGTAGAAATCTTACATAAAAGTGCTACGGCAGAAACTGCCCAATATTATAATACTGGTGTGCAGTATTTTACCAAGCGTAAACTGGAACCTGAGGTTTGCCCGGGTGGCGTACGGAGAAAGGCGCATGGATATCACAACGGGCAGTCAGGGTGAGTCGGCTGCAGTTCTCTGGGCCTTCGCTGGGCGCAGTGCAAAAGTGGGCGTGACACGCCGGTCAAACCACAACTGTTGTTCTTTTCAATCGTTTTGTAGATTACAAAGTGAAGCATTTTTCTTATTTCTCTTAATGCGCCCCAGTATGATTTGAACCGCATCAATGTCAGCCTCAAAAGCGATTGTCTAGGACTGCGACTCGCTCGAGCAGGTGTTCTTAAGGGTTCAAATCGCAGCTAGCTGGGTTGGGTCTTGTCGCGTGTGTCTAGTGTTCCCGTAGTGGGTCGTTCGCCGCTGTTACACTGTTACTCCTTTCTTTCTATGTCATACGCTTACCCACAAATGCTTTGTACGACTAAAGCACGCACACAATGTTGATATTTGTATGTTACTTTATAAATGACTACTGAGAGAAAATGCTTGACAGTTTTCTGAATGAAATACAGCTAATTACCATAAAACTTCAGCTCAAGAAGCAGAGTACAAAAAACAACTCAAAATTGTCATAAAGAGACGCTTATGAAAAGAAGTGTTGTTCTTCTATCAGAGACGCCAACAAACAAAACTATCAAAATTCCTAAGCGGGCACCGGAGGGGCGTGACCAGTTATAGATAACTACGCTTCAGGAGTTGCTTTGTACCAGGTGTCAGGATATAATAAATCAAGTTGAACCAAAGACAAAAACAAAATCCCGCCAGAGAGGGCTTGGCTGGAACTGAGGGTGATGCAATACACCGTGTTGTCTTTCATTTGTCATAACCACCCCGGAAACACAGATTTCAATGCGAACTTGGCCAGATACTGAGATTATTTAGTACGTAAATTTATTTTTACCTAAAAACGTGATAATTAAAAAAGGCGTGATATTTCTTTCTCCAATAGTTATCCCTTTTTTTCCATATGAAACTCTTTATACAACATATAGCAACTTCACCAACTCTCTATGGAAAAAAAATGAGATAACACCTCCTTATCTCATTTTTTTTCCATATAAGAACTTCACCAAATCTCTATATGGAAAAATAATGATGGAAAAATAATGAGATAAGCAGTCTGCAAGCAGATGGTGGCCATATGGCCGGTATTCCGGTCTCCCAGGATTCCATACCCTCCAAGCAGAGGTTGGGTTTTGAAATTTTTTACGTCTATCATCTCGGGCCGGGAAACTGTAAACTCCCTCGGCGTGTTATCTCTCTATTTGTCCCATATTTCTATTTCCAGCCGCGCCTCAAGCCTGGTAGAGGCTAAGTGTCCAGCATACAGCCCAGTGTAACCAAAGCAGACTCAATGGCTGACCAACACACATGTTGACAATCATCTCGGAGTTGTTTGGCGGTGTCTGATTAACGACCGGCCAGAGACACAGCGAGACAGTAACACTATCTAAACAAAGATTTATAAAGCAAAATCAAGTACTACTACTAGTGTATGAAGTTATGTATGTATCAAAATCCCCTTGGTGGGCGGGGCAGTTCTATATCCACGTATTCGGCCTCAAAACCGTGCTCTGTCTATTATTTAGACTTAGACGTAAAAAATTTCAAAACCCAACCTTTGCTTGGAGGGTATGGAATCCTGGGAGACCGGAATACCGGCCATATGGCCACCATCTGCTTGCAGACTGCTTAGCTCATTTTTTTTTCCATATAGAGAGTTGGTGAGGTTCTTCTATGGAAAAAAATGAGATAAGGACGTGTTATCTCATTTCTTTTCCAAACAGACTTTGTATTGAATTCTTGTATGGAAAAAAATGAGATAAGGACGTGTTATCTCATTTCTTTTCCAAACAGACTTTGTATTGAATTCTTGTATGGAAAAAAATGAGATAAGGACGTGTTATCTCATTTTTTTTCCAAACAGACTTTGTATTGAGTCTTCTATGGAAAAAAAATGAGATAAGGACATGGTATCTCATTTTTTTTCCAAGTAGAGATTGATTGTGGTAAAAAAAATTGCCACAACCTTTCAAAAACTACTTATCACAACTTTTTAAATTATCACGTTTTTCCCTTAGAATAAAAATACGTACTAAATAAATGTGACAAATAATCAAGTCTGAAAATTTGGTGTCCCTAAACAAAAGGTTACACGACTCTGCGATATTATGTAACATTTTTGTGCCAAAAAATGCCCAAACTGTAAATATAGATACTAGTAATTGAAATTTTCTCATCTAGATTGTCAATTTCAATAAATGTTAACATATGAGCGTCGCTATTTCGCTTTTCAGGCGACTCAGCGCAGCGCGAGAATAAGTTGCGGCAGGCCCGCTGTATTTTTAGGAGGCTCCTAAAATAAAAGTAAACAAATAGCAGTTTTCGTTCGGGTATCTTGGCCAGGTTTTGCGGCGCAAAGACATTGATCTTGTTCTCCCAAAAGTCAGTATGAACCCAGGTACATGCAGGCTTATAGCGAAAGAAAATGTTGAAAACAGCGATGTTTAGAAATCGTATACAAACGTCGCTTTAAGAGTTCAAAGTGTTGCAAGTTAGGTTGGGTCTCTCGGCACTTGTCTTTTTTTTTATTTATTCCAATATCTAATCACAAGACGTGGCGACGGCACACTCAAGTTTTTGTGAACTTATAATAATACCGCCACCAACACAGGGGACAATACAATACTCATTTTCACCTGAACGAAGTGAGGAAAGTGGTGTTAAGTGGGCACTTGTAAGATCGGTGGCATGTCAGGACTCCAACCCGGGACGTCTTATTCCGAGTCGAGCACTCTGTCGCTACGCCACACGACCCCACGTGAATGCAGCAAAACAAGGATACAGCAAAACAAGACGCGCCCACAGATACACCATAAGTAGTCTATTTGGGTGTTTGAGTCTAGAAAAGGAGTCTAAAAAGGATACTACTCAGGGTGCAAAATACCCAGCCACTCTCGCCACACAAGGCAAGTTTTCTGTGCGACACTTACTAGAGATGCTTGCAGCTTGGTTGCCTGGTGCAGTTTAACTTAGTTATCACCTTTTTTTTCTTTGCATATATAAAGCGATGCGATGTTTTAAAGTTTACCTCAGCCCGGCTTACAGTTTCTGAAATACACTGACGTATCCTATTTCCGCCAGCATGTGACCGATACTTTTTAATACAGGAGGCTAGCCTGGTATCCAGTCTTATGTGAGGGTGTTCAGGCAGGTTGTGTCTTCGTGGGCTCTAATAGCTCACCCCGCCCAGTGCAACAGGCCGCCCGGTAGGAGCGTTACGCTTATAAGAGACAGTATGCTTGGGGATTTGGTGGAGGGCTAATCAATCTCTTGTGAAATACACACCGGGAAACCTATGTGAGGCGGGCGGGACAGAGCTCTTTCGGCCCCGACCACGATCAGACTGGATACCAGGCTAACAGGAGGCTGGCTTACAGCTGCCTTCTCAAATAAACTTTTGGTGTTAACGGCAACCTGATATATCGATGGGCAACCGGAGCTTCTGAAAAAAAAAGCATTTCAAGCCCTGCTACTGACTGAGGGAAAATGTTTAAACTCACGTTTGTATCAGCAGGTAGAAAAACAGTTGGCCTTGTTCAAGTCTCGAAGGCTCGAAGTTTCTCGCGTTGGATTTCGCCGGTTTCTTCTTCCTTCCTCAAGATTGAAAGGTCACGTCCTTCCAGAAACCTTCCCTTTAGAGCGAATTTTCTCTGCCGCGGACCGTTCGGAAAGACTAGGCGGGGCCGGGCGAGCGAACTCGCGGTCGGGAAAGGCCCCGAGCCCCGCTGCTCTACCCCCCAACTACGGACCCCGAGTTGGTGACGGTCTTGCTCAAGTCTTGTCGTTCTTTCACAGGACTTTGCCAGTTAAATCTTGTTCCGCCACAAGAAAACCTCACGCCCGTCAAAAGCTAACAACCTCTTGTCCTTCTACTGTGTTTTACCGGGGAAAATGCACGGCAAAATGGGGCCGAGCCGGACCGTGGGACTTAAGCCCTGCTAATGACGGCGCTAACTGGTTAGACCGCCTTAAACAATGGGTACCTGTGAGTCTGTATCTGCCTCAGGCCTAGTTGTCTGGGCGTGTTGCGGATCTGACGTCAGTCAACTGGTCTGTGGCCTCAGGCCTAGTTGTCTGTGCAGATCTGACGTCAATCAAAAATAATAATAAGTCGTCTCTGAATTCAGGCGGCCACTGTAGTATCCTGAGGGGCCTGGTAGAGGCTACTGTATGGTGGGTTACTTCTACACACATGTAACCTTAGCATCCTGAGGGGCCTGGTAGAGGCTACTGTATGGTGGGTTACTTCTACACCCGTGTAACCCTAGCATTCTGAGGGGCCTGATAGAGGCTACTGTATTGTATGGTGGGTTACTTCTACACACATGTATCCTTAGCATCCTGAGGGGCCTGGTAGAGGCTACTGTATGGTGGGTTACTTCTACACACATGTAACCTTAGCATCCTGAGGGGCCTGGTAGAGGCTACTGTATGGTGCTTCTACAATTTGTCTTAAAGTTCCTAAAACAAATCGAACGTTTAATATATCAAGATGATAAGCAGAGTGCAAACATACTACTCAGACGATTAAATGCATTCCCTAGGGAATTAAATTTTGTCAACAAGATACTAGTAACTCAAGAACGGCGGGATGGATTGGTTTCATACTTAGTGGGTCCGTAGGGTGTGACTAAATCTAGAAATGATAAGATTTTTGGCCCCCTACTGGTTTCCGTTGGTACTGCAGAGGAATTTCTGGTCTTCATATCTCACGATCAGGACATGCTTCTGTCATGCATGTTGGATGGAGGTAGCTCTATTTATCTATAGATCATGGGGTGTGATACACAGAGCCGCTCAAAAGAACCGGTTTTTCTGCAACCTTCAGGCCGCAGAACGCAGTATTCTTTGGCTTCAGTGTGAAAAATTAGTCCCAAAAATATTAAAAACTTCGTAGAAATCTTACATAAAAGTGCTGCGGCAGAAACTGCCCAATATTATAATACTGGTGTGCAGTATTTTACCAAGCGTAAACTGGAACCTGAGGTTTGCCCGGGTGGCGTACGGAGAAAGGCGCATGGATATCACAACTGGCAGTCAGGGTGAGTCGGCTGCAGTTCTGTGGACCTTCGCTGGGCGCAGTGCAAAAGTGGGCGTGACACGCCGGTCAAACCACAACTGTTGTCGTTGTTTTCAGTCGTTTTGTAGATTATAAAGTGAAGCATTTTTCTTACTTCTCTTAGTGCGCCCCAGTATAATTTGAACCGCATCAATGTCAGCCTCAAAAGCGATTGTCTAGCACTGCGACTCGCTCGAGCAGGTGGTGTTGAGGGTTCAAATCGCAGCTAGCTGGGTTGGGTTTTGTCGCGTGTGTCTAGTGTTCCCGTAGTGGGTCGTTCGCCGCTGTCACACTGTTTCTTCTTTCTTCCCGTGTCATATTCTTATCTGCAAAATGCTTTTTACGACTAAAAGTGCGGAGTCACAATGTTGATATTTGTATGTTAGAGATTAAAGAAAAAATGCTTGAGCCCCTGAATGTCTGGAATTTTTATGACGGAAATACAGCTAATTACTGTAAAACTTAAACGAAACAAACAAAGATAAAAAAACATTAGCTTAAAATGCTGGAGAAGAAACGCTGATCAAAGGGGAGGGTTGTTCTTCTACCAGAGACGCCAACAAACAAAACCATCAAAATTCCTAAGCGGACAACGGAGGGGCGTAATAGTTATAGATAATCACACTTCAGGAGTTGCTTTGTACCAGGTGTCAGGATATAATAAATCAAGTTGAACCAAAGACAAAAACAAAATCCCGCCAGAGAGGGCTAGGCTGGAACTGAGGGTGATGCAATACACCGTGTTGTCTTTCATTTGTCATAACCACCCCGGAAACACAGATTTCAATGCGAACTTGGCCAGATACTGAGAAAATTTGGTGTCCCTAAACAAAAGGTTACACGACTCTGCGATATTATGTAACATTTTTGTGCCAAAAAACGCCCAAACTGTAAATATAGATACTAGTAATTGAAATTTTCTCATCTAGATTGTCAATTTCAATAAATGTTAACATATGAGCGTCGCTATTTCGCTTTCCAGGCGACTCAGCGCAGCGCGAGAATAAGTTGCGGCAGGCCCGCTGTATTTTAGGAGGCTCCTAAAAAGAATGTCAACAAATAGCAGTTTTCGTTCGGGTATCTTCGGCAGTTTTTGCGGCGCAAGGACATTGATCTTGTACTCCCCAAATGTCATTATGAACCCAGGTACATGCAGGCTTACCCTAGAGCATCTAATTCTAGACAAGTAAATAGAAAAGAGAAGGCAAGCCCATTTCAACTCCTTTTTAATACTCTTTGATACTCTTAGCTCCTAATAGTGGCTATTAGTGTTCCATGTATTGTAAACGAAGAAAACGTGCTACGTACACATGTTGCATGGCAGGCATAACTGTGGCAATGCACAAGAACATCTGAGCTTCAAGAGAATAGCAAAGCTATCACATGGTAAATTTCCATTCTGGGAGGCAGGAATCGCCTTATACATTAAGTAACACAAAAATTGGGAGATTAATTATGACACCCGTTGCCAAATATATTTTAGGAAAAGTCACTAAGTTAAACATTCACAGCGTACGCCAGTTACATGTATAGTGGATACTAGCTGAAACGTCTGACGTTTTCAAAATCATATCCAGTTGCTTGAGTAACTGCTTTTTGGCGTAAAATTTAGTCTATTATTATACCAATTACCACCAGTTAAAAATAACATCTTGATGTTTTGGAATGAACTTTTGAAGCCAAAGAAACAAACAAAAAGTTGAGACCAAGATGGTTGTCCGAGTACAGTTCAGTCGGCAGGGTACACACAAGTCTCTCCCGCCTCCATCGGTCGTGTGGAAGCTTTTACACAAGTGGTCTATCTTCACTATCCGATTCGTAGTTTGGCTCAAACTTTTGGTGGGAAGATAAAGGGGAAAACAATAATAATAATTAGTACTTACTAAATGCAAGGACACTTAAGATAAACAGAGGCCCTATGGGCTAGAAATATACTGCAAATAGTTTTCGACCTTGTGTATGTGTGTAGATGTGTGTGTGTGGGTGTACATGTGTGTCCACACCGAAGGTTCAAATGAGTGCAACTATTACCTCTTGAATCTCTTTCTTATCAAAGCCCTTGATGATCATGTTACTCTTGGTGCTCCCCGGTACTTTCATGTCACGGACTTCATAGGCACGGTTGATCTTTTCACTTAGACCCTGTTGGTAGGTAAGATACACGAACTATATAACATTGATTCATCAGTTATGTAATCTCCAAACTGTTGACAAAGAAATACCATACATCATTAGCCCTGAACCATTTGTTGCAAAATCTCAATGTTTTGATATTTATTGACACAGTGTATATTCCTAATACATTTAGTATTCGAGAGTGACTTTTACAGAATATTTAATTTCTTTTTGTTTGTCATTTAGATTTTCTTGATCTGGCCTACTGAATAAGTACTATTTCCAAGAAAGTGTTTTCGAAGCCACTTAAATTGCAGGGCTCGAAATTAAAGGTGGTCCAATGGCCACTGACTACTAAAATGCACGCCGGGACAACTAAAAAGACACTTTGGAACATTTTTGGGACAATAGAAAATAATGAACATCAGAATGTCAGCTCTTCTTTTCTTTACCCGGCACACGTCCCGGCTTTTGAATCCGAAAAAAGTACCCCCGAATTTCCTGTCTACTCTGCAATTATAGTGTGTCTGGAGTGAACATATAAGAAAACTAGAAGGGCCGACATTTATACTTTCTAGCAAATTCAGCATGGCTTCACCACATTTTACGACCTGGCAACGAAAGAAGGGTAACAATGTTTTACATCGACATAACTATAGTATGAAGTGACATTTAACTAAGAATACAACAGTTGGACAGCTATCCCCTACATTATTGGATAGGAATTTTATTTGCATAATGCAAACTGTTGATTTTCAAGATAAAAAAAGCGTTTTTCCCCTGCATTCCAATGCTTAAGCAGGAAAGTTTGACATACCTACGAAAACATAACAAACTTTCAATATGGTATGGCTATGTGCCACTGTGTTATTTTGCCCAAAAATGAAGAGATTGAATACATTTAACGAAATGGCAGGAGGCGAAGAAACACCAGAGAACACAGTATGTCTTACCACATAGTGGTGAAGTCATAAATAAAGTTGACTTCAAGTTGAAGCCATGCAAATAAGTACCCGAAAAACAGATTTGGACAGTTAATCCTCACTTCGGGACAATTAAAATAAATTTTTGAGACAGTGCTGGGACAATAGGAAGAAAAGTTCATTTCGAGGCCTGATATTGTCAAACTGTTAAGGAGGCACAGTTTACATATTAAAAGGCAGCAATGAAAATGTAGTTAGTCTCCCTTATCATCATCACATACACAATATTATTATGTCTCTTATTCATCATAGTTAAGTAAAATGCCTCTAAAGTCCAACACAGAACGTTATAATTGAATAAAGATTCTATGTTTTACCGCCAAGCCTACATTGTGATTATAATAATTATACTTTGAATATGCAGTTTTCTGACAGATTATGTTCAAATTTATAACATTTTTTTGGTAATGAAGTTCATAAATAACTCAGAGAGTTATGAGAAGGTCTGCTAAGTAGATGCAGAGTCTTACCTCGAACTTGTTGTCTACTTCTTGCAGCTTTCCACTGTTCTTCTTCCACTAATGAGTAGAAAATGTGTAGATATGTAATCAACTGTCTCACCACCATCAACTCTTTGCTAAGAAATCAAGCCAATGTACAAATGTGCTTCGAAGCATAAAGTTACTTTTCTTTTGTAACTGTATGTTTGCATACCTTTATCCAAGCTTGACTCAATCAATCATTGTTACGCATTTTTCCTTTGTCATATACACGTCACAGTATCGGCCTACGAAACGTAGTACTATATTTATATATTTCTTTCGAGCATTCGACAGCCTCAAGAAGCCTGGTAGAGGCTACAGCCTCCTTTGGAACTTTAGAACGCTTATTCTCGTCAAAAACAGACCTTATTTTACTCAAATCAATGTGTAGAAAACTTATATCACAAACTATTTTGTATTGAATGTAAACAACTTTTCCATAGTGCTGAATGGCCTTCCAATAGAATGATGAAGGAAGGTTTCTAGATTTTCATGCGTCCCGTTTTAAAAGGAGCTCGATATTTTGGGCCGTTTCTACAGATTAGTAGCTCTTTTTGTTTGGCTTTTTTAAGGATACTTTTTACTCTAAAGACACATCAACAGTAACTGTCTGTTGGCGTACTTTCATCCAAACGACGATCCCAATGAACAGGTGTGCCAAGAGGACTGCAGTCCCAAACAGGCCCACACACACTCCGTCAAACAGCCTGGCGCGTTCCTTGTCCCTAATCACCGAGGCTACAGTGTTCTGCACTGCCACGACGCACTGGAAGATTATGCACCCCAGCACGTACTTGTCCTAAGAACATTTAAAAGATGACATAGATGAATTTAAGACACGGTGCAGACCCCTTTCCCTCCTATACTGCGAAATATGACCTGGGTTGGTACCAATTTCCATGCTCACGATACACTCTTTCATCAATGCTCGAGACAAGCCTGACAAACTGAGAAAGATCATAGGACTAACTACCACACAATACATCAGGGGTGTTATAGAAGGTGACGTCTGTTATAGAATCTGAAAATGATGATATACAGATAGCAATGAAGTTAAATCTGTTTGCCACATCATTCTACTAGCAAAAGTCCTACTCACCAAGAGAGTCAGGTAGGAGACAGTGGGAAGGTACTGGGAAACCACCAGTTTGAAGGCCACTGTGGTAAGCAGCAGGGTGAAGGTGATGCCGAGACGGTCTTTGTGGTCTTCCAGTGGGATGGAGAACACCGTGAACGAGAGGGCAATGATGATGTACTGTGGGGAAAAGCAACATTAGATTTAATAGTGCAAACGTCACCCCCTTTGCATTATGATTTGCGGCATTTTCGGTCCCAAAGACCAGACCTGGTATCAGAATGATCTGCTTTGAAATTTAGTTGTTTTATTGAAAGACGCCTGTGGATTGTACCGGTGTACCTAAATCCTTGGTTCCTTAAACCAGGCCAGGGTCGTGGGGGCACCGCATGGTGGAGTGTCCGACCATCTCAACCGGCTATGCGTTAGGGTTAGAGTTTACGCAAGGTTTTTTCCTGTCCATTCTTGGATGTTGTCGGCCCCTTTTTGGGTGGGTGTGGGAGCTACCAATTGCTCCTTGACTATTAAAGGAGTACTAACCTCCAGAAGGAAGTGCTGTTTTCCGATACATCATGCTGCAATGAACACATAACTAGCCGACTTTTTACATAATTTCGCTTGTACGAGTTGCGCGGCGCATGTTTGTAAAGTGATATTAATATCATTTTCCCCCATGCTGAACCACAATTGATACATCCGGGAACTCTGGCTTACGCAATACTCATACACTTCAGGTCAACATAAACATTTTTGGACGAAAATGGTAGGCGACAAGCACACTAACAAGCTGATTATTGAGAAATTACTTGCTTTACTTTGCTTGACCTGCGGTTTGGATACTATAATATCAGGATGTCTAATGCAGTGGGCGCTAGTTTCATCCTGCGTGTTTTGATTTTCTCAACTTATTTGCATGTAAGTATTACTTGAACAGATAATTAGATTACGCCACTTATGGAAAGGATAACCAGATTACGCCGTTTTTTTCATCGTCAATATTTGCGGCATAAATGAGGGGCGATAAGAACACCAAGAAGGGCAATGGTTGGTAAGATAGCAAAGAACACAAAACAGTACGAATTTTTCTTATCGCCCCCGAAATGAGGTCTTTAACGTAACTTTTTGTTTAAAACATAGACACCAATGGGGTAACGTGGTGTATTCTGGGATAGTTTTGAGGGTATTTGGAGAGTTTGTCCTGGATTCGATACGTTTTAAGACTTGCGCGCAAAATGGGCATTTAATTGTATACTGTAAAATAATATGCATTTTTCACTTCCAAAAATAAATGCCTGTCGAAATATAGCACCTCCTTCTGGAGGTTAGTACTCCTTTAACCATGACAATGGGACTAAGTAAAAGGTTTGACAAACGAACTCTTTGAGTCATTTAACGCCAGCTCGGTTCTGGTCTACCGATTGCGAAAAGATCATCAAAGCCATAGACGTCAAAGGCACTAAAATGAAATAATAAATGTCCTAGAAACTCACATTGAAGGTTCTGTACTTTCGTATCGCAATGATTTTCGGACTTTTACATAGAATACATTGTATGTATGGCACAGCCAACAATTAATTGGGACACCTGTTTCTGCTCAGGAAGCCAGCTGATAGCACCACTAGGCAGGCGCTGACATGGAACCCCAGAGGCAAGAGAAAGAGGGGTCGCCCCAGAAACTCCTGGAGGAGAAGGGACTGACCTGGAAATGCGCTGGGAGGATGTGGAGAAGGAAGCCCAGAACCGAGCTGGATGGAGGACGGTCATTGGTGGCCTATGCTCCGCATGGGGCCAAGGGCCCAACCCTTCATCCCATGCTCCCATTAAAAATCGATTTCAAATTGAAAACAAACTTTAAAGGTACTACACTTACTAAGATGAGTGCAGTGTTCCATGAGTAGAAGGCTGACTTCCTCTGCACATGCGCAGTGATGTTGTACACGGGGTACTCGCCGAAGGTTTTGGACTGAATGTTAGTTTTTGTGCCATGTTTGCAGTCTACATACTTGCTCACTGTCCACTGGTCTCTATCTGTGGAATTGGTTGTTAGTACAGATGTTATTAGCCATTATGATGACATTATGTACTCTCATAATATATGTTATTGTATGAATTTTACGAATTATGAAAATCATATGACGGTCTACGGAAAATGTGACCACGGCTTACCTGCAAAGTCGTCTTGTGCAATGGTGTCATTGGATCCGTAGTTCTTTCTCAGGTCTGCTTTCTTGATTGGCCACCCTGACATCAGTTGGACAGTCAATTCCTGGAAAAATTCAGCGTGCATTATCATATTGTAAACCCGAGAACCGACAACTCAAGTTGATGTTGTCTTATAAAACAAGAGATTCTTGCTATAAGTTAATATTAACCCCTGAGTTCTGCTCGTGCAAGCTGCACTCATGTTGCTTTCTGTCTCGACCACAATGCATCGCAACTGCACAGGCATTCGCAATCTGAACTGTAAAATGGCTTATAGAATTTCGAATATACCTGAATAAAGAGACTCTTTTTTCCACAACTGTTATATTCATCTGACGTTTCGGTCACCGTCTGTCACATTCCTCATCGACATTTAGGATGCAAGTACAAACTCAGACAGGGCTATAATCTGCGGAGGTTTAATGGTTCAACTCAACTCTCCAGACAAGATGGTGGACAGAGCACATGCTCCTGTGACCCGTAATGTAGTGGGGTCATCGATAATATAATTCACGCAATCCACATGACGCATGGCAATTCTGAATTCATAATTGCCCAGAGAAAGGTGAATAATTTACATGGTTGTGTAAAAAAAGTCTCTTTATGCGGTGACTTCCCAACCCGATGAAACTATTCACGAAAGAACATACCTGGTGGTCAACAGGGAAGTCGGCGAGGTCCATGTCCACCTTGAAGGTTGCCCGGACCTTCCTTAACTCGTGCACGATGGGCACAGTGGGCTCGTCCGAATTCGGAACCCCGACCACCTGTATCAGGTTTTGCGCTGACCTCTCCGTCTCAATGCTTGTCGTGTTCCTCAGTACGATCCGCGGATCCCATTGGTTGTCCCAGTCTACATCCTGAAACATAGCAGTCAAACATGTACAAAGTATTTTACATAAGGACCACCTGGCCATTGATATACAGTAAAACCTGTTCTAGTGACCAACTCTACATAAGGACCACCTCTACATAAGGACCACCTGGTCATTGATATACAGTCAAACCTGTACCACTACTAGTGACCACCTCTACATAAGGATCACCTGGTCATTGATATACATGTACAGCAAAACATAACTTCATAATGTATGTTCGTACCGTACGAAAGATCTTACACCAAGTATATTCACTAAATAAATCTGGTTGCATTATCTTTTACCTTATAATTTTGATTTTACTATTATAATTTTGATTTTACTATTATAATTTTGATTTTACTATTTAATTTGACATTCAGCTTCTTTCTTGAATGTTACTGCGGTAATCGCCCTTACGTCTCGGTTTGTAATCCCCTTCAGCTTCTCGTCCTTGTAGAAGATTTCAAACCAGAGTTCTGCGGAGAACTCCTGTTTGACGGTGTCCACATCCCTCAGGGAGAACAGGGTGGGGGTGATCAGCACTCGGATCTGTGTGGAGGGGGAAACGATCATTAGCAAGAAAATTAATCAGAGCGTGAGCCTGGCTACAGAACATCATAAGAAAGGACAGAACAGAACATTTCATCTCCCCAGCTCCTACCCTCATAACTATCCTCATTTAACTACCGCAAAATTGGGACTCTAAATTCTTGTCATAATAGATATTACATGTATACCAGTTTGATCTATTCACCTAGCACGAAAGTTTACCTACATTGACATTAGAAGGAACCAGCCAAGCTTTACTGCAGCCCAAGAATTCCGACTCGTCAGATTTGAGCCAATACCTGCACACAGATTTCTGCTCACATTCTGATTAAACCCGATGATCTACACGTACATGTATGTATCAGTTCAACGTGATCGATGTTTAAGTCCGACAACCATCAAATTAAATTGTCGTGGCCTCAAAAGTAAGAAGTCCACAACTCACCTGCTCTTCTCTGCTGGCGTACCACTTGCCACTGCTCTCAAGGGCTTTGTTGATTTGCTTCAGCTGAGCAATCACGTTTTCCTGCCATTTAAGTCTAGGGTCAAGAGCCTAAAAGGTCATCAGTTCGAAACGAATAAAGTTTATTTAGGATACCTGCTCTGTCAACTATAAATGAAAGACGAGAAATGACCACAGTAGAACTACTGAAAGGCATGTTTGAGGAGAACCACCCTCTTTATTATTAGCGAGCTGCCAGCGGGCCCTATGTAATAAGGTAACAAGACGAAAGTAGTAAGACAGTCCGCACAAAAAAACACAGTACTTCATTCTTTCACCCGACCATGGTCCTTTACAATATATCAACCAAACAGGTAACAAATGTCTCAATTCTCCGTGAAGTTTTACATTTTGCAAATACATAAGATCAACAACACAGCTATCTAAACAGATGAACAAAGCCATCTTTCTTAACTGTTGCAATATATTTCATTTACTACATATTATTCATTTCATGAGGTATCGTAGCAGGTGCAAACCATAAGTGATACTAGTAATCCCAACAGATACTCGCAAATGATTATACACAACAACCACCTGATGTAATTATTTATAGGCCTAGGCCTCTTCTAGTGTGTTTTGTCCATGGTTTGGTCCCTCTATGATAAAACTGCTTGTGGCATTAGGACCACATTCCTCCAGTTTTCTCTGTTGCTTAATGTTAAGGCCATATCAACTACACTAACATTTCAGCAAGAGATTCAAATGAAAACGGAGGACTGTGGGGAAAACTTGAGTCTGACTCCCTATACTCAAGCTTTAGACTTTTGCCCAAGACTTTTCTTTCCTGTTGATCTTCCAGTTTCTCTGTTTTATTCAGAGAATTTTCTGAGGAAAAGTCCAAGTCCTTTAGATAACGAGAATGAATACATTGTTCCGGCCTTATATGAAAGACAGAAGAGCCCAGAAACAATTTTCTGTACTAACCTCTTTGTTAGGGTCATCCATAATTGTTGTCTTGAGCGCTCTCTATGCAAAATACAAAAGTACATGTAGTGTTCTCAGGTGTAAGGCAGAAAATAGAAATACAGAGTACTGCATGGTGTTTTCCGTATCACCCGAGGTCTCAATTGACCCAAATGACAATTGAATCCACCTGGTACATCTCACAATTTTCCCACTGATGCAATCTAAAGTATTTATTTATTGTCTTCGTCAGAAGGACTATGAAATTGTCTAGCCGCATTGTGGGCGACTGCGGATTTAGCAATATAACTCTGGCAGGCATGATTCGACGTCCATGATTTTTGGCAGGCAGATTACAGTTGTTAAGGCCGAAGTCAAGTGCAAGTTTCAGCTTCGTGGGGGGTCCGTGCGTCACGTTAGTGCACTTTTGTGTTTGTGGCTTGTTAGCAAAATAACTCAAGTATTGGTAAAATGTTGCTTATAATTTTTGGTAGGCAGATTACTATTGCAAGCAGTCTTTTACAACACGTAAACTGGAACCCGAGGTTTGCCCGGGTGGCGTACGGAGAAAGGCGCATGGATATCACAACTGCCTGTCAGGGTGAGTCGGCTGCAGTTCTGTGGACCTTCGCTGGGCGCAGTGCAAAAGTGGGCGTGACACGCCGGTCAAACCGTCCACAACTGTTGTTGTCATGGTTTCAATCGTTTTGTAGATTATAAAGTTGCACATTTTTCTTATTTTTAGATTACTCTTAGTGCACCTAAATATAACTCGAACCGCATCAATGTCAGCCTCAAAAGCGATTGTCTAGGACTGCGACTCGCTCGAGCAGGTGGTGTTGAGGGTTCAAATCGCAGCTAGCTGGGTTGGGTCTTGTCGCGTGTGTGCACATGTACACATATGCTAGTGTTCCCGTGGTGGGTCGTTCGCCGCTGTCACACTGTTGCTCCTTTCTTCCCGTGTCACGCGCCCACAAATACACCATAACTAAAGGCTGTTTGGGTGTTTGAGTCTAGAAAAGGAGTCTAAAAAAGGATACCTCAGGGTGCAAAATACCCAGGCACTCTCGCCACACAAGGCATGTTTTCTGTGCGAGACTTACTGGAGATGCTTGTAGCTTGGTTGCCTGGTGCACTGTTTGACTTAGTTATCATCTTTTTTTCTTTACACACACACACACACACACACACACACACACAACACACACACACACACACACACACACACACACACACACACACACACATATATATATACATATACATGTATACAAAGCGATGTTTTTAAGTTTACATCAGCCCGGCTTACAGTTTCTGAAATACACTGACGTATCCTATCTCCGCCAGCATGTGACCGATACTTTTACAGGAGGCTGGCTTACAGCTTGCCTTCTAAAATAAACTTTTGGTGTTGACGGCAACCTGAAATATCGATGGGCAACCGTAGCTTAATTAAAAAAAAAGTATTTCAAACCCTGGGACTGACTGAGGGAAAATGTTTGAACTCACGTTTATGTCAGCAGGTAGAAAAACAGTTGCCCTTGTTCAAGTCTCGAGTTGGATCTTCCTTCTTCCTTTTTTTTTTTGCCCTCTTCCTTCCCCAAGATTGATATGTCACGTCCTTCTAGAAATCTTCCTTTTAGAGCGAATTTTCTCTGCCGCGGACCGTTCGGAAAGACTAGGCGGGGCCGGGCGAGCGAACTCGCGACCGGGAAAGGCCCCGGGCCCCGCCGCTCTACCCCCAACCGCGGCGCCGAGTTGGCGGCGGCCTTGCTCAAGTCTTGACGCTCTTTCACAGGACTTTGCCCGTTAAATCTTGTTCCTCCACAAAAAGACCTCACGTCAAAAGCTAACAGCCCCTCGTCCTTCTACTGTGTTTTACCGGGGAAAATGCACGGCAAAATGGGGCCGAGCCGGACCATGGGACTTAAGCCCTGCTAATGATATAAGCCCCGCACTGACGGCGCTAACTGGTTAGACCGCCAATGGGTGTCTGTAACTGCCTCAGGCCTAGCTGTCTGTGCAGATCTGACGTCAATCAAGATAAAAATAAAGTCTACTCTGAATTAAGACTACTGCAGATCTATTATCTCCCATACACTTTGGAAACAAAATATTAATCTTTTCTTCCTGGAGTATTTTAAAAGAAACAAAAATAAAAAACACAAGACAGATCAAAATACAACTATATTTACAAATGTAACTGACTTGTTGTTCACAGACCTAATTAGGTGTAATAATAGTCATAGAGACACACATGCACATACATTACACAAACACTGGCAAAGACTAAATCACTTTAAGAACCTAGACAAGATGCCAAACAGTCCAACAGAAACAAGTCTTCCCAACGTCGACGACCAAAGAACCGTTCCCCCTCCAAATTCAGTTTTAGATTCAGCAATTACCCCTGAAGAACTAGACACTGCAATTTCAAAACTAAAAAACAATAAATCAAGTGGAAATGACAGAATTCTGAATGAAATGCTAAAATCTGGTAAAATGATGCTCAAAGAACCACTACTCCACCTGTTTAACTCATGTTTAAGTAACGGTTATTTCACACAAGAATGGTCAGTCAGTCATATCGTTCCCATACACAAGTCAGGAGACACCTCATTGCCAGACAATTACAGAGGAATCTCAATAATCAGCTGCTTAGGGAAACTTTTCTCATCCATTTTAAATTTACGTCTCGTTAAATACGCTGAACAAAACAACCTGTTTCAACCTCATCAAGCCGGCTTCAGAAAAAATACCTTGGAACAACCGATAATCTATCTGGGAAATTAAATGTAAATGTTAGAAAAAGTAAAATTATTGTATTTACAAAGGGTGGCCGTTTACCCAAAAATGGCTCGTTTTTATTCCACAATCATGTAGTTGAAATTGTAACGTCATATACTTATCTCGGCATTATTGTGAACTCAGCCGGCACGTTTAAAGCAAATCATAAGTACCTGAGTTGCAAGGGTTTGAAGGCTTTATTCGGAATTAAACAGTCACTAGATCAAGCCAACGCCCCGCTATCTGTTAAAAACAAACTTTTCGACGCTTGTGTAAAACCTATTTTACTTTACGGTTCAGAAATTTGGGGCTCAGCCAAAAGCCCTAAATTCTGCCCCATTGAATCCGTCCACCTTAAATTCTGTAAACAGTCTCTGAACGTTCCTAGATCAGCCTGTAACCTTGCATCAAGGGCGGAACTAGGGAGGTACCCAATGCACCTGGAGGCCTCCCTAAATGCCATTAAGTATTTTCTTCGTATACGCCAAAACGTGCCGTCTGACAGTCGGATGCAAGCGGATGCCCTCTCATGTCAACTACAACTAGAGACTAGCGGCAATAAATGCTGGGCGTCCGGTATCCGTAAAACTCTGGAGGAATGCGGTTTTGCTTACGTATGGCGTCCTGATATATCTCTGAGCACAAATCTATCACCAATAATTAACTCCATCAGCCAACGATTGAAAGATATTTACACACAAACATTTATTACTGAAATCCACAATGACCATAACAGAGGTACATCTTCTAGTAACAAGTTACGAACGTACCGTTTGTTTAAAAGTATATATAAAGAAGAAGAGTACCTATCGGTCAACAACATTCAACACAGGGTAGCTGCAACTAAACTCCGAATAAGTTGCCACAAATTACTCATTGAAACGGGACGACACAACCGCATTCCTCTCCAAAACAGACTCTGTCAATACTGTAACTAGAATAGAGGATGAACAACACTTTATTTTAGACTGTACTTTATATTGACGTGAATGTAATGAAAGATCTGTCCTTTCTAATCATATCAAAGAGAAGTTCCCATACTTCGAACACCTAAATGCAAACGATAAATTTATATATTTGATGCGTCTAGACAAACCCTGTATCACAAACATGATCTGTTCCCACATTTTCCATTGTACAAAAAGCGAGAAGAAGTTGACCACTCTGTATTAGCTCAGTAACTATGTAACAGCCCTGATCAATCAGCTAGTGATTTATAGTTCCCGTGACGTAGTGACTTATGACGTAGTGCTTAGTAGCCATATTTAGATCTTTACCTCCTTAGTTCATTTACATCCTCATTAGATTAGCCAATGACTGGTGAGAGCAGTCAGCGTCAGTATTAGATATTAGCTAGCCCGCTTCCGTTTGAATTAGTTCGAGACCGGGACCTCAGGTTAGACACACACACTTGTAGTTCATATCCTCTGTAGATTTCCACTCCTGTAACTCTAAGACTAGACCATTGTAACTAGACCATTGACTTTGTATATACAGCAGATAGATCATAATACAACAGCCCGTACAATCTGAATTGACCCGGCTTTGCGTATTTTATCTTTAGTGGTTAACTAGCTAGACAGATAGACACGAAGTAAGCGTAGCACCCTAAAGTACACCGATCCCTAAATTCTACAACTAGAACAATTTGTATTAGCCTAGTATAGTATCCTTGTATGTTCCTTATGTATGTATGTCTAAGTCAAGCAGTGCATCTTTTGTCTACACTTTTCTACATATGTTTGTTATGTGTCTGTTAAGTCTTGACCTGTACCTAGCCCGCGTCGTGGCATGAATGTACAATAAAGGAATTTCATTATTATTATTAATAATACAAACACGCGAATACTCGTGTGCACACGTACACATACACAAGACAGACACACACAAACAAACAAGCAGATACGCAATGAAAGACTATTGACTCAGTCAACATATTACCATACGATTCACAAGTCAGTGCAGCATTACAACATAAATGCCGCAGGAGAAATGGAGTATTTAAAGAAGAAATTAAAAAAATTCGATTCTGGGACCTTTCCACCCAAAATCCTACTTGTAAGAGCTTATTCATTGGTTTCTAACAGTCCCAGAGCAAGCAAAGGCCAGTTCTAAACCGTAACGCTTTTGCCGCCAAACATCTGCTTGGGGAATATTCCCAGTCACCAGTTGATGCCTGATAAAAAGTTTTACCGAAAAAAGTTACAACAAAGTTCTAAATTTACATTCGTAACGTTGAAAGGCTCTAAATATCCACTAAAACATCAACATTTCTCAAATCATACGAACAATTATTAAATCTATTGTAATGTGTTGATTTTCTAAAAAAATCTAACGCCCCTGCGTTTTTGTAAATTTAATCAGGCACTACAATAATTCCACAGGACAGCCTCATTTTAAAGTTCCAGGCGCGAGTTCGAAATTTGCCCAGCCAAAATGGGCAGAAGAAGAAGAACTGTGGAGATATTTCAACCTTCACGTCGAACCAAACGTCTTACTTCGGATCAGATAGACGAGACAACTCCTTAAAGATGAAGATGAAGGTCTTGAGCCGAAATCCAGATGACTGCGCACGGGAAACCAAGCGGAGAATCCAGAGACGTGAGTAGAGCTTAAAGCGCTCCCCTCCCCCTCCAATAAATGCAATTTCACAGGAACAAAACAAACTTAAGTAACGAAAAAGAAAGTGGTACAGCGAATATTCTTGAAGACTGGGTAGAAAGCCTGATATTAGAGCGTCAGCCAGGCGTATACAGTACAAATTTTAAAGTAACGCCCTCCTTTCTCAGCACTCGAACACCAGAGCTGAAGTGGAATTCCAGTGCTGAGGCGGCTTCAGATCTGGAAAAGCCGTTCAGCTCTGAAACCGAGAGCTGAAAGGAGTTCAGCACAGGAATTCCAGTGCTGAAAAGTCTCAGCACTTGGAATTACGAATATTCTGCACTTGATACAAGTGCAGCGTCAATACCTACAAAATCTATCACAAAGGTGCTGTTTCAGTTTCTTGTAATACTAAGGACCATTTCCAAAACCATATCCAGTTGGCGTAAAGTTTAACATTAACATTAGTTTAATTTTAGTGGCAGGAATACATCAACTGAAGTGCTTCTAGTACCTCTCAGCACAGGGACCATTTCCAGTGCCGGGGAAGACGTCAGCACTGGTTTGAAGAGCGTTCCAGTACTGAAGGGACGTCAGCACTGGTTTTCCAGAGCTGAAGATTTTACAGCACAGGTTTTCCAGTGCTGAAGTCTTCCCCGGCACTGGTAAGTGCAGTGCGGAAGGCGTTACTTTTGTATACTCAGCACTCGGTTCCAGTGCTGACGGCGGTTTTATTTTATTCCATCACAGCAATGTTGGAATTACAGTGTTTTGTACCTTTATCGTACTTAATACTACAAATATATTTAGGTGCACCGGTGCACCCACAGTCAAAAATTGGGTGCACCGATCCAATTTTGGGTGTGTGCCTCTGAGCGCGCCTTCCCGTAATGTATGCAGCCAAACTTTGCCACTCTGTAGACATGGGAACTTGGAAACTTTTACGGTTTTCAGTTTCAACCGTTTTGCTTGTCACCTTACTGAGCTGGGCGTGGGTGTTTTCTGTCACACCTCCAGCACTGCCCTGAATTCTGTCCATATCAAAATTTCGCCCCCAAACTTCAGGCACGATGACACAGCGGCCATGCTGGATTTGGCGCTCTGATTGGCTGACATTCTGGTCGACGTCATGAGGTATGGCTGTCTTTGGAAAACGGTGGATCGACCACGAAAGATGACCACGCCGCGATTGGTCAGTTTCCTTACAAGCTGCAATACTGCCACGCTGCTATTGGTCAGGGTACCAGCTGCTGCAGTGAGGGATGCCGGCGTCGATCCACAGCTTTTAGGCTTGACCGCCTGACCCACCATTTTCCAAAGGCAGCCATACCTCACGTTGCAGGTCAAAACCCTGTGTTTTCGAACTTCGGGGGGGGGGGG